AGGGAGGTGGGAGGGGGGACCGGGATGGGGAATACATGTAAATCCATGGCTAATTCATTTCAATGTATGACAAAAACCACTGCAATGTTGTAAAGTAATTAGCCTCCAACTAATAAAAATAAATGGAAAAAAAAAACAAAAAACAAAAGACGATCCCTGTGCTATACCTCGGAGCATCAACAGATGCTGATGCATCAACTTATGCCTTATAAGCATCAACTTATGCCTGAGTCTTACCCCCAAAAGCTGTCATTTAATTAGTCTGGGATATGTTCTGGGCTGGGGGAGTCTAAAAAGATCCCTGCTGCTGCTGCTGCTAAGTCACTTCAGTCGTGTCTGACTCTGCAACCCCATAGACGACAGCCCACCAGATACCCCATCCCTGGGATTCTCCAGGCAAGAACACTGGGGTAGGTTGCCATTACTTTCTCCAATGCATGAAAGTGAAAAGTGAAAGTGAAGTCACTCAGTTGTGTTCTACTCTCAGCGACCCCATGGACTGCAGCCTACCAGGCTCCTCTGTCCATGGGATTTTCCAGGCAAGAGTGCTGGAGTGGGTTGTCATTGCCTTCTCCGAAAAAGATCCCTAGGTGATTCTAATGTGCAGGCATGTGTGGGAACCACTGCTCCAAAATGAATAAACACATCTGGCTTTGACACCAGGGCTTAAAGACCTCCATGATCTTCTTGACCAGCAAATGAAGTCTCTGCCTAGTAGATCCCTAATATGGCTTTTTGGGCCTCCCTAGGGAGTACTGATCCCCAGAGCACCCATCGTGCTCCATTTCTTCAGCACCCCCTCTTCCATCGATCTCTTATTTGTTCAGTAAACAGTTATGAGTGCCTGCTGTTCTAGGTGCTCAATACACAGTGGTGAGCAATATTCACAGTTTCTCCACTCCCTGTGCTTATCATCCTCACCTCAAGTAGTACTAATCACATTTTAATTAGTGTCACTATTATACAATGCATTAGTTGTAATTATCAAAAGGTTGGCTTCTCCTTAACCACAGGCTGATCATTGCTAAGTCCCATACCAAGAACCAGCCCAAAGGAGGAGGTGAAGGAATGACCATGCAATGTATGAATACACCCACTTCAGAGGTTGTGTCTCCAATGTGTATTTTTAGAAAGCAGGGCAGAGGCAATGGCAGGCAGCTATTAAAGAGTGGTGAAGGGCTTAGAAAGACCTTGGGTTTCTCGAGCTTTGAAAGGAGCATTGTGGTTCCATGGTCAAGAGCAGAGGCTTTGAGGTCAGAGAGACAGAGGGTTCAAATCCTGGCTCTCCCACATACCTTCAATAGGATCTTGAAGAACCCATTTTTGGTTTGAACCCCAGTTTCCTCATCTTTAAAATGCAGAAAGCAACAGTACCTACTTCCAGGCTTGCACTAAGGACTAAATAAAATATAACATGTGAAGTGCTTACTATCTGGGGCACAGGAAGTGTTCAACAAATGTTAGTTCTAAATGGGCACCATCAGTATTATGGCTGTCATAACTGGTGACATATGATATTTTCACCATCAATATCATAACTCTTGATATTACTGCTGTAACTAAAGCCCGGATCATGGTTTTAGCATATGGAAATCACTTAACAAATGAGAGCTGACATTGTTTTATTGATAACACTGCTTTTTCATCTCAATACTGCCTCTAATCCTGTGTGGACCTTGGACCTAACACAGTGACCTCACTGGACTACAAAGTAGGAGCAAGGTGGGACATACGCTGTCTTACCTCTTCCATCTCTAGAATGTCCCTTCAAGTGTTTCCTTTTGGAACAGTTGACATATTGCTTCATGCTAACTTGGCTGTTGGGTAGAGTCTCAATGGGCAGTTATCCAAAAAGGAGTGAAGGAGAGCTAAGCACTTCTGCTTGACCAGCCGTGTCAGTCTAAAAGTGATTAACGGAGGACTCAAGCTAGAAGCACACTTCAGTGAAACCAAAAAACCAGGTAGAATTAACAGACTCAGAGTTGCAAGAGCACTAATTGAAATAGGATTGGATCAGGGCTTTCGAGAAACTCATCCTCTCCAAATTAAATTACAAACAGGAACCTGCCCTGTTTGAAGACTTAGAAAGTGCGATGTTGAGGAGGGAAGGGTATGCATTTCAGCAAGAGACAGGGAATTAGGAAAGTCAATAATGTTCTGTGCTGCAGATGTTGGAAGCACCTGTAACAGCAGAGAATAAGCTCCTTAGTTTGAATTTTCTGGCATTCATTTATCAAGCCTCTGGAGCCTGCAGCTACAATGAAAACATATTAGCCTTTTCACAGTGTATGTATTTAGCGCCTGAAAATAATCTTCTTATCTCCTGTTTAGTGAATTATCACTTTCATTTTCCTCCACAAGAAATTACACACTAATAGAGGGCTTTAAGAGTTTACAATTTCTTTTTTGTATTCTGATTTTAAAATTGAAAAGTAATCTCCTTACTCCTTGAGCTCTGCCAGTGAAGCTGAAATCCTAATGTCATGGCCCAGTAAGTACAGAGACGTAATTAAATCACTCCACTGAACTAATTCGCCAAGAGGGCCACCACTGAAAGCTGTCTCTGCAATCTTAAATCCGGATTCCTTAGTCAGGAGGCCCAGGTGAACAAGCACCTGAAAAAAAAAAGAGGGACACACTGATTCTCATTGGTTCAAGTACAAATTCCACAGAAACCCACCAAAAAACCACCCACCAATTCCAAAGTCATGTTTACCTTCTAACAGAATCTCAACATGGGGTAAATAATTTTTCTAGAAGGTACACAGAAAGAAAGGAATGATCTCTCATTGTTGTTTTAGAGAAATAAAGTCATTACTGCATTGGGTATGGCTATGGACAGATAATCCTGCTTTCCAAAGGTGAAAAATCAGCTTTAAAGGAGAGTCAACCAGGACAATAAAATATCTTTTAACAATACTGGGCTTTTTTTCCACAGGTGGAATATTTTTAAGCTTTTAACATGACAAATTTCAAACACTAACAAAAACAGATATGACAATACAGTCAATTCCGATGTACTTAACAATTACTGACTTCAACAATGATTAACTCCTGACAGGTCTTATTTAATATACACCCCTCACTTTCTCCCAACCCCTCCAGCTTATCTTGAAACAAATCTGAGAGAGCCTATCATCTGTAAAAATCTCAGCTGGAATTTCGAAAAGAAATAAATTTTCACTTAAAAAATATAACTGTAATATCACTGTCACCCCTAACACAGCTATTAATTCCTTAGTATCATCCAACATCCAGTTAGTGCATACACTTGCTCAACTGTCCCTTATTTTGCCCAAGAGCAGTTATTTGAGCCAGAATTCAAATAAAGTGCATAAACTTCTCATACCTCTCTTAGCCTTCTTTAATTGTAGATTAACTGCCTGATCTTCCTTTCTGGGAGAGGGAGGGGTTTGCAATTTACTTGTCAAAGAAACTGGGTTGTATTTCCAGTAGAGTTTTTCACCCTCTAGATTTTACTGACTGTAAAACAGATTTTTCTGTCCCTTGTGTTTATGGTAAATCAGTAACTACAGCTGCAGCCATGATCAAATTTGTATTTGATTTTTTGGGCAACACTATTTCATAGGTAGCGCTGTGTGCTTCCAGTGGTAGGAACAATATCTGGTTGTTTCTGTTTTGTGGTGTTTGCAGCTACTGATGATCACTAACTAGATGCATTAATCCATTATGGCTTGCCATTGATGACATTCTATCATTCCTTCTGCATTCATTAGCTGTAATATCGGTACTTCTAGAAAGAGAAACTATCCCTCATGGACAGCCTGCATAGGAAAAAAAACCTGGTAAATACCTGATTCTTTCCTTTTACTTAATAGTTTTCAAAATAACAAATTTGTTCTTTAGCATTCTCTAATGATGACAAAGGAAGATTTTTTTAAAAAAATATGTGTATTATTATACATGAACATGAACATAAGTATATTTGACGGGTTTCAATACACTGCAGTTATTATTCTTACTGATTACCAAATTGTGCCACCTTGGAAAATGGGAGGCTATTAAAGTTGGCTTTCAAGTTCTTTGAAAAAATTCTAGCAGTCTTTGATAATTTTTTTCCATATATAGAAAGATAATTATTATGCTCACATGAGATTCATATTTAATACATATCAGTATGTTTTAGCTGACAGTGAGAACAGCATTCAGTATAGGTTTCCAGGTGTAAATTCAGAGTAGCAAGGCAGCTTTTAATGTGGTCCAACTGACTGAAGTCTGAAAGGAAAACAGCGATGTTAGCTTAACTAAACCCAGGGTATAAGAGCTTCACGCTCAGGGATATTACAGGGGGTTTCCCAAGCATCTCCTCATGAACGTCAAAACAAACTGGCTCAAGTTTAATTTACAGTATCTCTGTCTCAGGAACACAAGCAGAACTGCCACCAAACAGAGCAGCAATGAAACTCACCAGCTGGCTGCCCGAATTACAGAACTGACAAATACCCAGAGTATGAAACTGTCATGATGATGTAACAGGAAGTTCTTTAAGGTTGCATTCTAGTAAAGAAAAGAGAATTAAACTTCCTGATGCTACTGAGAGTGAGTCAGATGGTACATAGGAAAATCTTACAGGCAGATATTCTGCTTGGCTCCACTGAAGACACGTGTGCTAGTTCCTGCTAAGATTGTTGTAAACTGGGGAAAGGAAAGCCCCAAAATGGCTGTGGAAGAAGACACTGCAGATTCACCCCAAGGGAATATCACTGGGGACATGACATTTCTCTTAGTCTTGCCTCCATGAAAATCAAATTTTCAAGAAAACTGGCATTCAGCTGAAGTGAATTAATCAGAAACTCACTTTCTTCCGCTTTCTCTTCTCAAGATTCTGCTTCATTGCCAAGGACTTGATTGCTTGGATCCACGCATCAGCCATTCGCCGGATCCGCAGTCTCATCCATCGGAATTCTTCATGCTTTTTCATCATACTGTAGAGAATATTAACATCTGTACGAATTTCTGCCTAGAAACAGAAATTTAATAAAAATGAATAGGAGATAAGACGCCCAAAAGCATAATGGTTTTCATGATGTGACGTTTGAAAACTTGAAAGAGAGAGTCAATTAAACATGTGGCTTCAAAAGGGAGTCTGGTTCATTGAAGAGCTTTGCTTGAAGGTCCTGGGGCTGCAGATTGAAGCAAAGGGCCACTGACTGCTGCTCTGCTATATAAGGGACATCATTAAAAATTAGAAGCAGAGAAAAGCGGCACAGGCATTGCCAAGCCCTGAGCTAGGTCAAAATATGTATTTTACAGTGAAATGTGCTTGATGCATCTTGAAATTGTCTGCACCCGAATTTGTTGGCCCTTTGGATCTACTTCGGGGGAGCAGACTCCTGGGAAAACTGAAGTTTATCCTTAACAGACTATCTGCCATTATGGAGGCTGCCACAAAACCTCATTCCATCCACAAAGTAGGAAAATACACTCTTGCCCTCTAGTCTTGTCCCAATCCAAATAAACAAAAGTTTATTATTTTCTACAAGGAATTGAAAAGCCAGGGATATCACTTTCCTATTGTAACTGAATAAAATTTCGAATTCAAGCCAGAATAACTTAAAAGTCAGAAAGAGTATTTTTCTACAATAGCTGGATACAACCAGTGATTGAAAGAACAGGGAGAAATAATAACATTAGTATTTTTTCATATAAAATCTAAAGAAAGCATGTTGAATCCATCTTTCAGCAGTCACCATAATTGATTCTAAACATTCATCTAACCATGCCATGACTCAACTATGTCCCAAGAATCCCATGGTGTAAGCGAGGCTCAGTAAACTCTGGCTCTTTGACCAAATCTTTCTTAGCTCAGTTGCTCAGTTGTGTCCGACTCTTTGCGACCCCATGGACTGCAGCACGCCAGGCTTCCCTGTCCGACCGGCTCCAACTCCTGGAGCCTACTCAAACTCATGTCCATCGTGTCATGTGATGCCATCCAACCATCTCATCCTCTGTTGTCCTCTTTTCCTCCCGCCTTTGATCTTTCCCAGGATCAGGGTCTTTTCCAATGAGTCGGTTCTTCGCATCAGGTAGCCAGAGTATTGGACTTGCGGCTTCAGCATCAGTCCTTCCAATGAATATTCAGGTCTGATTTCCTTTAGGGTTGACTGGCTGGATGTCCTTGCAGTCCAAGGGACTCTCAAAAGTCTTTTCCAACACCACAGTTCAAAAGCATCAATTGTTTGGCTGTCAGCCTTCTTTATGGTCCAGCTCTCACAGCCATACATGCCTGCTGGTTTAAAAAACCATAGCTTTGACTAGATGGACCTTTGTTGGTAAAGTAATGTCTCTGCTTTTAATAGCTGTCTAGGTTGGTCATAGCTTTTCTTCCAAGGAGGAAGCATCTTTTAATTTCATGGCTGCCGTCACCATCTGCAGTGATTTTGGAGCCCAAGAAAGTGAAGTCTGTCACTGTTTCCATTGTTTCCCCGTCTAGTTGCCATGAAGTGATGAGATGGAGCACCAAGATCTTAGTTTTCTGAATGCTGAGTTTTAAGCCAACTTTTTCACTCTCCTCTTTCACTTTCATCAAGAGGCTCTTTAGTTCTTCTTCACTTTCTGCCATAAGGGTGGTGTCGTCTGCATNGAGGTTTTTGATTTCTCCCAGCAATCCTGGTTCCAGCTTGTGCTTCATCCAGCCCGGCACTTCACATGATGTACTCTGCATATAAGTTAAATAAGCAGGGTGACAATATACAGCCTTGACGTACTTCTTTTCCTATTTGAAACCAGTCTGTTGTTCCATATCCAGTTCTAACTGTTGCTTCTTGACCTGCATACAGATTTCTCAGGGGGCAGGTCAGGTGGTCTGGTATTCCCATCTCTTTAAGAATTATCCACAGTTTGTTGTGATCCACACAGTCAAAGGCTTCGGTATAGTCAATAAAGCAAAAGTAGATGTTTTTCTGGAACTTTCTTGCTTTTTGATGATCTCCTTATTTTTCGATGATCTTCCTCACTTCCTGTTTTTCTACGTAAAGTTTTGTGAGAACATAGCCATGCCCACTCATTTACATATGATGAGGGCTGCCCTGGGCTACAAGGTCAGAATTGAGTAGGTATAACAGAGACTTCCTTATGGCCTACAAAGAGGAAAGTATTTACTATCTGGCCTTTCAGAGAAAAAAGCTGCTGACCCCTGAGGAAAAGAATAAGGGCTTGAGTTTTAATATGAAATTTTTCACAGCCCCTACCTACCCTTCCCATCTCTTCTTCATTCCAGCTTCTTCAGACCCCTACGGCCTTGTCCCAGGCTCTTCTCCTGAAAACGCCAGGCTCTTGTATGGGCACCTTTTCACTTCACATCAGAGACATCTGTCTCTCCCGGACTTGGTATAAATCCATTCATCACTTCAAATTCAACTCCAAGGTCATGTTCTCTTTACATCTCTCCTGACCCACGCGGGCTGTGCTGGCCCCTTCCTCATTAATTTCCATGGCCTGTGTTTCAGTGTTGACACGGGTGTGGCCACCATTTACCACCACCTTCATTACCAGATCACTGGGCACCTCCAAGTCTGGCACCAGGTCTTATTGACTTAGGAACCCTCAGAGAACTGCTCAATAAATAAACATAACGCTAACAGTATCACGTGGTCACTCAAATTTCCACAGGGCTGGGGACACAAGTTCTTCAGTTTCCTATTATTTCAGATTACAACTGGCATCTTTAGAAGACTCTACATGTATCACTTGGCATCAGCCCTAAATCACAAGCCAGGTAAGAGGTTTCCAAAACCACTTACCAATGAGTTACGATCAGCTTCTTCGTAGGGATTTTTCGTTCTCCAAGGTAAATGGGGACACCAATTTTCAACCTGAGAAACAGGAACCAGAGACACTAAGTATGCGGTTCATTTGCAAATGAATTAATGGCTGTGCCAAGCCTCGAGCACAGTGCCTGGTACACAGAAAGTGGGTTATTATTAATACTTACATCCCTGCCTTCTCCATGATCCTCCAGTGGGTTATAATTATTAATAATTATCAATTATTAGTCAGACTCCCACACTTTTAGCTAGCAACCCAGAGAGGTCTGCTCTCAGATGCAACAAAAACCAGTCAAGGTCCCATGAAGCATATGATTACACTTCACATCCGTCCTTCAAAAACTTCATAGTCACTAATTCCTTAATCATTTAATCTTCATACTTCTATGCAGAAGGAGAGGGGGGCTCTTATGGTAGAAAGTTAAAAGATTTGAACACTGCCGCCAGGGGATAGGAATGCAAAGGTGCTTCTGTGCCATTTATTTAGCAAAAGGACAGGAATGATTTGTTATTTGCTCTGGCATGTCTGGAAAGGTAACAGCAAGTCATCTGAGGCACAGAACTCCATCATTTATCTCCAAATTAGGAATGCAACTGAGAGTTTAAGGCGAACGGATCAAGGCTTCCCCTCATTTTGTGGCTGTTCACTTCACACTATCTCAAGCAACAGGGTGATAAAACCTGTTGGAAAGAGAGATGAGGAAAGAAAAAAATCCTTCAGCAATCTTGAGAGAGCCATTGTGTAAGCCTGTTCTGTCAATGCACCAGAGTTCAGAGAGCAGGAGAGGGAAGAGAAAGCAGAAGTACCAAATTTTACAGGAATGACTGCAAAAACGGCACCAAAGAAAATTAAGGCAGACTTACATTTTCTAGTAAATGAAGAATGCACTGATTGATATTGATGTCTGACCTCTTTGCCCAAACTGGCCATATAATTCTAAGATAGCATATCACCCATTCACTAATATGAGATTATTAAAGATGGCTAATAAGCAGGAAATGAAAATACTGTTTCTATGGCCAGGTGGACCCAATAAAAATGAACAGAGCCAGAGGGCAGGGGGCATCCTTGGAGGATCATAGAGAAGGCAGGGATGTAAGTGAGGTTAGACTTTCAGGTCAGCAATGCAGAGTCAGACAAGCTGGTTAGACCCCCAGCTCTGCGCAAGTTTTCAAAGAAAGCAGTTTCACTACTCTAGAAATAAAGCAAGGTGATTTTGACTAGAACCCAAAATAATTGGGCAATTTGCATAAAGCCCTCTGCCACTGCAAGTGATCTGAAAGCAATATGCAGAGGGCAGCTAAGTTTGGGGTGGGTGGAATTCCTGAATAGGAAAAGTATCATATTCTCTTTTCTTTTTGTGGAATGAAATTACACTTGACCAGCTTTGTGAATGGCTTCAGAGACTCAAAAGGGCTTCTCATAAGAACGGTTGCAATGGTTTTTACTCTTAAGAAAATACCAACTTGCCTGAAATGTCTTTGTCTAAAAACTGAGCGCTAACACAGCAGCATCACCATGAAAGGCAAAAATCACAAAGGAAAAACACTCTGTAAGTGAGAAAAACGAGGAAGAACCAGCAGAAAAGAAGGCTCCAAGGGCACGAAGCTGGTCCCAGCAGCACTGCACACTTTTGTGCCTTGTGTGCTTAGGCTGGACTGAATTATTTAATTCAAATTAAATTTTTGTAAATGGACTCAATAAGACAGTGCTTTAAAGCATATTTATACCATGAAGGATTCAAATAGACTGCTGACCTGACTGCGAGACCTTCCACTGCACACAAAAGCACGAGGGTGAGCAAGCAGGGCACAGATTCATAGTCAATCCCATATGAAATAAATAACAGCAGCATGTCAGAATAAAAAACGTCCTCACGAAGAGCATGATAGGGAGAGATGAGACACGACTATGAATAAAGAAAATCAAGCAAAAGGAGACACACTGGTGAGATCAGATAAAGGAGAGTACATTCACTCCTCCGCCCTTCGAAGAATCTTCCAAAATTTACTCTGATGAAAATACAGTCCAAGGTGATCTTCTAAAATATGACTTCCCTACAGAATACTCAAGACTTTAATTCCCCTTTGAAACTGATCATTCATCTCAGTTCTTACTCTAAATCACTGGATAATACCATGTGAGATTTCAAGGGCATCTCAGTATGGGAAATGGAGTCAGTGTATTTTGAATTTAGCAAGAAATCTTACCATTACATACACACTCATAATAGAGGAAAAATCCATTCTATCTTGACACAGAATGAGGACAGTGGGTTTTTAGGGTGACTGTTTTTGTACACTGTGATAAGCTAACTGGTTAACAAAATAATTAAATTATACATAAATCAATTACTCCGTGGGGAGTGGAGGAAAAACAAACAAACAAACACATTTCTTTCTGAAACCTCAGTGGATTACCAGGACTGGAAGAAAGCCAGCACTGGCAGTAACTCCACGTATTGAAACAAAACAGCTCTCAAATGAGCAACATTTTCCTAAATAAGAACATCATTGACAACACAGGGAAAATCTGGTTCAGGGATCGTAATTCAACTTCCTCATCCCTAACTGTTTTGCCCAGTCTACCCTGGCTCCCTAAATGAGTCTAACCACTCAGCACACCATCCTACCTAAGAAAGCTGGACCCCAAGGAGAGCCCCCTGTCTTCCTGATCTAGAAGTTCTTCTACTTCAACTCATTCTCATCATCTTAGTGTTCTTCTGGCTTTCAGAACCCTAGGACCCTATTTCTGCCTGTGGTCACCTACTGGCTTGGCTATAATTTTCCAACTACAACCTTAGAGCTCTCTCTGGGATAAGATCTGTGGTGCTGGACCCTCCCACTGCCTACCCCCACCTCTACCCAACTCCTGCAAGCTGGCAAGTCCTTCGTCAGGCCCTCTGCCAGGGAAGCGACTCTGCAGCCTTAAATTCTCCCACAAATCACTGTAGTGAGTCTAAGAATAGAAAATCATCTGAGTTCATGGCAACATGCATGCAACAATCAATAGAGGAGCAGAACCATGACTATAATAACCCTTGATTTGAAGGTGAAACTTCTTCTACAGGAACTAATCTTTTTAGTGCACTAGCCCAAGGCTACAAAATAGAGAGTCAGGGGGAGGAGAGGGTGAGATATATGGAAAGAGTAACAAGGCAATTTACATTACTATATGTAATGATAGCCAGGGGAATTTGCTATATGGCTCAGGAAACTCAAACAGGGGCTCTGTATCAATCTAGAGGGGTGGAATGGGGCCAGAGATGGGAGGGAGGTTCAAAAGGGAGGGGATACCTATGGCTGGTTCATGTTAATAGCAAAATTCTGTAAAGCAATTATCCTTTAATTTAAAAAAATTTTTTTAATATGAAGAGGAAATAGAACCAGAAAAGACCAGTCAGGCTAGACCTTTGGAACATGAAGGCATCTCCCAGAGAGAGGGCACAAAGAATCACTTTTCTTGAGCAAGGAGATCTAAAATGAACCAATTTTATTTTTGACATTCCTCCTTCCAATGATTTAAACTTCTTTGATCCGAGAAGGTTTTGCAGCTTCATCAGTGCACAATGTAAATCAAAGCAAAGTTCCTAAACAGACCTCAGGTAGGTCATACTTGCTTTCAAGCTCTTTCGGATGGACAATTCTTAAATTTAAGAAAAGAGAAACTACCAACAGAGATGCCTACAGCTCAAATTGGATTTTAAAGAGGGAAAAGAAATAATAAAATTACAGCAAAAATGAGCAGGAGATTTAATGTATATCTGCGTGTACATCTGCAGAACTAGCCTTAATCTCTGCAGTAATATTCTGTTCTTTTGAAAGAATAATAATCAGGCTCTGATATGGCCTTTTTCTCTCATGGATAATGTGAAGGGTTTTGCTTTAATGGATCACTGACATACAGAATTTCATCTGTATTTTTCCAAGAGTTAAGTGTGGTCAAAAAGTAAATACACAAAATGCATAAGAAAAGTCTAAGATTACCTCTAGAGGTTGACGTCTTGGATGCTTAGGATTCTCTTCTTTATGTAAATTTTCATATTATGATTTTTTTAAACAAAGAACACTGAGTAATTTTTAAAGGCATTGCATTATATAAGCATACGATCATTGACTGAAGGTTTACAGTTCAGTGTGTCTGGGAAAAAAACAAATGAACTTGACTGTATCCCATCATTTAATTCCCTGAAGTGCCCCAGAAGGTGGGTACCATGCCCAGATTACACGCGAGGGAAGCAAGACTTGAAGGTGCTGAGAACCCGCAGAGGTCCACTCGCTAGTGACTTCCCTGTGGCTCAGATGGCAAAAGAGTTTGCCGACAATGCAGAAGACCCAGGTTCGATCCCTGGGTCGGGAAGATCCCCTGGAGCAGGAGATGGCAACCCACTCCAGTGCTCTTGGCTGGGAAATTCCATGGACGGAGGAGCCTGGCAGGCTAGGTGGGCTACAGTCCATGGGGTCACAAAGAGTCGGGCACGATTGAGTGACTTCACTTTCACTTTTCACTCACTGGTGAGTGGCGGGGCTGGGTGATGACTGAGGTCCCGTCCCTGGACCAGGACATCAAGTGTCAGAGGCACTTTAAAGGGCAGGGACAAGAGGGCTGCTGAATCTGGAATCCACCAAAACAGATTCTATGTCCAACTCCACAAACAACTAGAGGTATAACCTTGCTGCTGCTTCTGCTAAGTCACTTCAGTCGTGTCCGACTCTGTGTGATCCCATAGACGGCAGCCCACCAGGCTCCCCTGTCCCTGGGATTCTCCAAGCAAGAACACTGGAGTGGGTTGCCATTTCCTTCTCCAATGTGTGAAAGTGAGAAGTGAAAGTGAAGTCGCTCAGTCGTGCCCGACTCTTAATGACCCCATGGACCGCAGCCCACCACCTTAAACCATCTGATTTTCAAGTTTTCTCATCTACAACATAAAGGTGCTGGCTTGGGTACTCTATAGTAATTCTATTAGCTATGAGAAATAAAAAATATAGTTAGACACCACCATGTGGGTTACCTATCAAAATGACACAACTGATTAAATTCATTAGGT